GTGCACACGTGTGAGCATGTGTGTGGGTGAAGTGGTCGGCCCGGCAGGGTTGACGGGTCTTGGGAAGGCTGTGAGGCAGAACAGTGAATCCCAGGGGGTGGGTGACATCTGGCCGGTCCAGCGCGTGCTCTGAGACAGGCCCTGGCATCAGAGGCCGGGCGGCACGGGGCCCTGTACTGCACGCCGCGGGCTCCAGGGCCGGAGGACTCTCCTTGGCTTCTAGAAGCAGCGTCGGGGGCTCAGGCCCCGGTTGCAGAACCTCCAGCCCCGTCGTGTGGGCGCTCGCCCCCCAAGGGCAGGAGGGAGGCCGGCCTTCGAGGCCGGAGAAGTCAGTCCCGCAGGGAGACTGCAGGACCCGAGCCATGCCAGGTGGGGCGACGTGGAGGACTTGGCACGTCACGCTGTCCGTGTGCAGCTGTCGCTTCAAAAGCAAAGCACACAGCGGCAGAGACGGGCAGCACCGTGACGTCCGCCGCCCCCGAGTCAACCTGCCGCGTGGAAGGCAGAGGCGAAGGCCTCCGTGACCCCCCGCTGCGGCCGAGCGCCCCTTGTCCGACACTGTGGGGGAGGTCGGGGGTCTGGCCCCCCTGGGAACAGTAAGCGTCTTCTGCTTCTAAACATGCTGTCCAGAAGATGGTCCTATTTTACTCAGTTTTTAAAAATATTTTAGTTCAGTTGTAAGATCTCCATAAATCTCACCCATAGTTAAGACGCACCATTGATTTAGATTTTAAAAGGAGGACTTTTGAAGGGAAGCTGATCGATGGGGTGGCAGGCACTGGAAGCAGCGACCGCATCGGTCAAATGCCCCTGACCAGGTCAGGGAGGTGGTTCCGGGGACACCTGCCCTGTGCAGTGCCTGCGTGAGATCTGTAAGCAAAAAAAACAACTTGACTGCATAACTGACGTGAGAATTCCAACCAGCAAACATTTGTCGTTATGAAGATATTTTTAAAATGAAAGTTGACCGAATTGATTGATAAATGCAGAGAATAATCTTTCCCAAGAGTTCAGAATAAAAATGGCAATGGAGAATGCAACTCTGGCCTTTTTAAGCCTGTATTCATAAATATTTTTAAATTGATATTATTAAAGAGTAATTCCCAAGATAGGGCATGCGCCATCTTTCTGTCTGAAAACCCCTTTAAGGAAATCAGAGTACCTGGGGCGGGGTGGGGGGGAGGAAAGGTGAGCACACCCCCGCGTGTCCCACACATCCTGCAGGAGTCGGGGTTCAGGCCCTGGACACGCTCCTGGGCGAGAGGTTAAACGCATGGATGTCTGCGCCAAGTGTGTACTGATTGTTTAGAACTGTAGATTTTTCTTCAGTCGTAAAGTTTGGTCAGAAATCTTACTATAACCCTGGAGAAAACCATCCGTAAATCACCGCCGTGCCCTCCGTTTCCCCGGAGCGGCTGCCAAGGTGTTTCCCGTTACCTGCGCGTCCCGTGCCGGCCCTTTCTCCCGCCCTGAACTCTGTCGTGACACACGCGTGTGTGAGGACTCACCAATGGCACTCGCCCTTGAGACACGTCTGGCTACCCGCGGGCGGCTCTTCCCCACACCCGGCGGCTCTGCTCCACGAGCTGCCGCCCTGCCGGTGACTCTCAGCGGCGATGGCCTCGCATCCCGCGGATTCGGGCCCAGCCCCGCGGGCCGCCCTCCCCCGCACTCAGACGCCAGTCACCACTTATTCTGAATCGTCGAACTTTCATTTTCGTGCATTCTGGCCTATTCACTCCACCGCTACGCCTTTGGTGGCAAGCCCCAGTAAAAGCCACACGAGATTCAGGCTAGTGACACACTCATAGCACATTTGTTGGCTTTGGGTCTGATTCAAAAGGCTGCTTGTCGGTGATTTTGAGGTATTATACCGCTGTATGAATTAAAGACTTCATCTCTGATTATTTTGCTAAAA